TGAATGTTATAGCGGAATTGCGAAATCACTTTCGCAGCTTGTGCCAGGATGATACACCCATGGCACGACGATCAGCTGCGTCTAAATTAGGTGAATTTGCAAAAGTTGTGGAAATCGAATATCTTAAATCAGATTTAATTCCTATGTTTGTTATCCTCGCTCAGGATGAACAAGTAAGTTCATTAAAACTATGAAATTTCACAATTCTTTTCATGTTGATTATCATACTTGCACTAACAATTTTACAGGATTCAGTTCGTCTTTTGGTTGTTGAAGCTTGTGTTAGTATTGCAGCATTGTTACAACAAGAAGATGTTGAACAGTTGGTTATGCCTACACTTCGGCAATGTGCTAGTGATCAATCATGGCGCGTTCGTTATATGGTGGCAGACAAATTTACAGATGTATGTATTGCTGTTTAAAACTTAAATTTTATTCTAAAACATTTTTTGGAGAATATAAAAATGCTATATTCTTATGTAAGAAATTTATATAATATTTTACTTTCTATCGATGAATATATATACTATCTATAAAAATATATTTTTTTTTTTTTTGTAGCTTCAAAAGGCCGTTGGTCCAGAAATAACAAAAACAGATCTTGTTCCAGCATTTCAAGTATTATTAAAGGATATTGAAGCAGAGGTGCGGGCTGCAGCTGCTGATAAAGTCCGCGATTTCTGCCAGAACCTTGATCAATTTAATCAGGAGTCCATAATAATGACAAATATATTACCCATAGTTAAAGAAGTAGTGGCAGATCCAAACCAACATGTAAAGTCAGCTTTAGCAAGCGTGATCATGGGATTGAGTCCCATACTTGGAAAGCATAAGTAAAAATAAAATAAATAATTTTGGTACATTGTTGCAGGATACAACAACTGATTGATAATAACGTTTAATACTTTTGCAGCACAATTGAACATCTATTACCTTTATTCTTATCTCAGCTTAGAGATGAATGTCCAGAGGTACGACTCAATATTATTAGCAACCTGGAATGCGTTAACGAAGTTATTGGCATACAACAACTTTCACAATCCCTGTTACCTGCCATTGTGGAATTAGCTGAGGATTCTAAATGGCGTGTGCGACTAGCTATTATTGAGTAATTATATATGTTAATTTA